GGTTTGATATGGATCATGGAACCTCATATAACATATCAGTTATCCTTGATAATCTCAATATCATTAGTTTTTCCGATTATACTGTTCATTATCATTTCACTGAGTCTCTTTTTTCTCAGTATATTACCAATTCATCAGTATCTTGTTCAATACATGGACTTCCTTTTTTGTTTAGCACACGTTTACAGCAATCAATAAATTGCAATATTAAAGATGTTGAATCACAATCTACTATTGTAATTAAAGACTCTCAATTTCACAGCAGTAGTTATGGATTATATTTTGATATAAGAAGACATTACTTTCAACTAAGTAATCATCATATTGCTATTACTATTAAGTCATCTTCAAGTTATGACAATTATTATGGTTTATGGATTAATGGACATTTATCAACATCAGCTCATATCAGTGTCATAGATACTGAACTTGTTGGAAACAAAGGAAATGAGATAAGAGGGTGTCCTTCTATCATTCTTAATAACGTTACTGTTGCAAATAGTCTATCAACTGGACTGGTAATTATAGCCTCTGTAGTTACTGTAGAAAATAGATTAGTATTTAAAAATAATGCTGGAGTAGTTGGAGGAGGAATGGCAATAAATGAGTCATCTATTGTGGCCCTATCACCATCAGCTAACTTGGAGTTTATTGATAATCATGCAACTTATAAAGGAGGAGGAATGTATATTCATGAGATAACTAAAAGTCAATATAACACTTTTTCACTTTTCTATATTTCTACAACTCTTAGAGCATTTACATTTAAAGGCAATACTGCTGGAGTAGCTGGAAATGATATATATGGAGTCGATTATGAATTGGAAAAGACTGCTTCCTTAAAATTAGCAAATCTTTCAACATCAAGTGATGCAAGTGCATTTGCTCTTTGTGATCCTGACAGTAATGAAATCACATCAATATGGTATGATGATGATGAGCAACAAAGTGTTTTTCCAGGTCAACCACTGAAATATAATGTTGCTTTATTTGGACGCACTTTTGATACAAATTCATATAGTCTTACTGATGGGAGAATAACAATAGAAATTAGTGAAACAATAGTGATAGACAAATACATAAATAATTGTTCACTGATTGAATACACACCAAAATATGTCAACCATTATGGAGAAAATATCATTACACTCAGTGTCACTACTGATACATCATTTAGCACTGAATTAGATATTCCCTTTATTTTTAAAGAGTGTCCTATTGGTTTCAGTGTAAACAGTTCAGGTGTTTGTGATTGCAGTGTTTCAAGAGAGAATGTCACATGTGATATAAATACCCTACACATTACACACAATGGTCTACTCTGGATTGGAACATATCATACCAGTACACCTTTCAATGCTAATGAAACCAATCCTAATGCATGCATTATCAATGAGGACTGTCTCCTCTATTGTTCTCCTAATCCTGTTACCTTTCAGTTCAATCACACTCATACTCAATGTGTGGATAATAGAGGACACATAATGTGTGGATCATGTAGAGATGGATACAGTCTACTAATGGGATCAAACAAGTGTGGACATTGTCATAATAATTACATGATGATAGCTTGGATTGCTCTGTTTGCAGTGATGGGTGTACTACTTGTGGTTCTACTCATTGCTCTCAATTTAACAGTATCAGTGGGTACACTCAATGGTCTATTGTTCTATGCTAACATTGTCAAGTTATACGAGCCAGTC